GGGCAGTCTGTGACGTCTTAGTTAAGGTCATGCTGCCTACACCTCGACACAAAATATAGAAATACGATGTTATTAAAGTTTAAAATTGAAATTCATTTGTAAATACCATTTTCTTATGGAACAAGGAATTTGAATTCAGTGTAACCATAGTTGTTTGTGATGTCTATGTTCACTTTCACACGAGAAAATTCGGATCGGCTGAAAAGTAGGTTATTCTTTGTATAGGTTAATGAGACTCATGTTTCAGTTTGACGGCATAAAAAGCATTCACTCACTCATTCACTGTAGTGTCCAATGTGTTACGAATAACAGGACACACATTTGAAAGGTTCACATTGCTTTTACTTCGTTAAGGGGCGTTGCGTTTTCAGAGTGTTTCAGTATACAAGTTGCCGATAACCCTTATTTATAATGAGACAGTGCACTTTGTGAAAACTGAAAACTAACATTTAAATCTTTAGAAACATATTAGAAACGTACAATTCAAACTGAACATCTTATATTAGGGCATCTTCAAGGTAAACCTCCAAGACTTTCCATTAACGCACTCGCTCGAATGTTTCCAGTAGCGCGAACACGAAGGGGGAAATCACGTGACAGCACACTTCACTCCAACTGCATAGTAGCGTAATCGTGTTTACAACTTGAATGAACGACCTTGCAACTCTTATCTCAATGAAATCTGTGCTCACACAGTGTCAGAGTAAGATAACCTGGGGAAAGTTCCACTCATTAGAAACTGGAAGCTGGGGACGTTCCAGAGCGAGCTTCTACACGGCCGTACTCCACTTGGGGATTTGTGGTCAATAGTCACTGACCCAACGAGTTACTCTTCTACCCTGCCTCTGACAGCGACATTGAACTGTGCGACTAACTACTTTGTTTACTGAGTCACACTGTACTCAGTGATATTCCAGTGATGCAAACCGAAACATGAGTCTCATTAACCAATTCAGACAATGACCTACTTTTCAGACGATCCGAATTTTCTCGTGTTAAAGTCAAAAGAGACACCACATACAACTTTGGTTACACTGCATTCCAATTATGTGTTTCATAAGAAAATGGTATTTACAGGTTAATTTTAATTTCAAACTTTAATAACATCATCGTATTTCTGTATTTTATGTCGAGGTGTAGCAGCATGACCTTAACTAAGACGTCACGGACTGCCCCTGTTCGATGAGGTCGTAAAATTATCCACAATGCATCTGGCTCACTGGTTACACCTGTTATGTGTTTTTTGCGCTTGTCCAGTGTAGTCTTGTCACAGACAATGTGATTGATATAATACCAAGTCCGTACCAGACCGCCAAACGTTTCTAGAGGCAGAGCCTCGTTTGACAATTCCACGATTTCCAGATTTCCATTTGTCAGGGCACGCTGCACGACGCGTTTGCAAGGATTAATAGGAGCGTAGTGTTTGCAATATACAAGTGGTTAGATGTATCAAATAATACTGATTAATATTTATGTATCCAGTTGAATGAATTTGTCGCAAAGTTCTGGACTGGTTATTGTACTAAGTTGCTCAATTGGACGGAACCCAGTCAGCAGGAAACGAGACTGTTGTGTAATCAATGTTTTGACTTGGATTGCTTGACTGTGAATAATCGACCAGATAAACCCGTGATTGATATTATGTACAAAGTCCACCGTTGGGTTACGCTGACACGCTATGAATCACGTTTCCGAACCTAACCACGTGGTCCATATACTCACCACGTACGACAAACGTATGTTTCTTACGGTAACGCTTATTTTAATAAAGAATGTTAACGTCAACTGAATCATAAATATAATGTTATGTTGGTACCTTGATATACCCTTGCTTATAAAAAGAATACCTGGTGTATTATATACGAGCTGTCGTAATATATATTACATATTACATATATTACAACAGCATAACATTGGACTTTCCGTGGTTGATATCACTTACGCACATACGCATTCACTCACTCGCACCTCTTTCTTCTATAAAGTTCCCAAATATACGAAGATTCCTAATATATACTGACAAGCAAATAAAACGCAATTCAAGAAATCGAAACAATTGTGTTAAAGCATCAAATCCAAAGTCATGCTGAAAAAATATAATTTTCATGAATTCTGAGTTGCGTTTTATTGCTGGCAGTATATTTCATTTCTGATGTGTCCCAAAGGCATGGCACCTCTAATATGTAACCATTTCGGAACATGTTTCAAATGCATAGTTTATGCATCGTTTTGCATTTTTAGTCGTTTACAATGGTGAGATAACGTGGATGGTAATATCATGACAAGACGACCCTACACTTGTCAAGTACAATCTGGAGGATCTTCACATATTGTAAATCAAAGTCCACTTACACTCGACTGTTATCACCATGAGGTCGCTATGAGGTCAACATTTCAACATCTCCTCCCTTTCTATCTATGGGTCATTTGTTCACCTTAAATTTTGTCTTTCGCAAACATAAACAGAAGGCAAATACATACCAACCAAACCAGTGGACGAAGTTTGTCAAGAAATGATCAGTCATCATCTGTGTTTAGATGATGAGTCATTGTGAGTGAGTGTTTGAGTTATGAAGCAGTATCACGGCGTGAGACACAAAACATGGGCTTCAAACATTGTATCCATAAGGGAATCAAAACGGGTCTTCAGCGTGACGACCGAACGCTTTAACAACTGGGCTACCCTTCTGCCCTTGTGCAGGGGAGATAGCGGAACAGAGACCCTCATTGCACCTTGCCTGCCTCCCAAACCTCATTTTCATTTTCGCCCCGCCCTTTCAGCGATGTTAAAGCCCTTAATGCAGCAAGTCTAGATTTTTCTCAGGTCGGAATCGCCCCGATCAACGGGGATCCATTTCAACTGAAGTTAATTGGATCTACCGAAATTATATATATTCTGGACCCGTGAAGATCCAGGTTAGAATTGGTCTTCAGCAACCCATGCTTGTTGTAAGAGGGTTGGGTGGTCAGGCTCGCTGACTTGGTTGACACGCGTCGTCGTATCCCACTTGCGTAGAACGATGCTCATGCTGCTGATCATTGGATTGTCTGGTCCAGACTCGATTATTTACAGACCGCCGCCATATAGCTGGAATATTGCTGAGTGCGGCGTTAAACAACAAATAAAACAACCAAATATGTATTCTGAGATTAAGCACCAGTCTCTCAGAACGCCGTGATTGTCGTGAGAACTTTTATGAAGATCGTGTCATCAAAGGGTGAGAACTGTTGAAAGAGGGAACTGGTTTACAGATATGAGACTTGGTATAAGAACTTGTGATGTAACTATTGATATCCTATAATGATTAAATCAAATACCCTTCCACAGGAACTATGAGGCACCTTTTCCCCCTTTTACTTTTATTCCCTGTTTCGTGATGTCAATAAATCGATGATGATATCTAGGTGAGGTGAGGTGAAATTGGGTTTAACATCGTGCTTGAGAAAATTAAATCACATTATTAATTCGAAATGAAACGAATTATGTATATCACAAATTCGATAATATCACAAATTGAAACCACTTAAGACTTCGGATATCAAAAATGATGTCCAAAATTCGAATTTGTAATATCAATAAATATTTCAGTTAACATCTGGTTTAATACTACTTTTAGTTACATCACAGCGGGTCGGGCTTATGTGGGAGTAAAGCCCGAAGTAACGCAGGCGTCACGGGTTTACTATGTTGTTGAACCATACAATCACGGGTATGACACAAATCTGGGAACATAAAGACGTCGCTCACCGTCCCTCCCTATCACCCCAGACCCTCTCAATACACTATCGTCGTGTCTGCGTGGGATGGGAACCCTGGTCACCTCGGTATGTATCCAGGGTGGGGGGGTAAGCTCGGCTGATTGATGACACCCGGAATGGCCCCCTGACCTCGACACCCGTATTGCCAGCGTGTAGTGACGGGTATGGATCACTCCAGGGCTATGTGTTGTCACATGCACTAAAACTAACGGAAAATTTTTAGTTACTCAATGAAAAACCGCAATCTCCCACGAGTGTATAAACGTAGAGTGTTGGGAGATGCTGTTGCCCACAAAATACGATTGCGTCATTGATATGTAGCGGTTGTGAAATATAGTTTCCTTTCGTTTCAAAGTTATATTGTTTACTCATTGGAGGATTTTAATGCAAGAAAGTTTTTTATCAAATGTCCACTGTTGACTCTTGAGATCGGGGCAGCGTTCGAAGTTCTGGGTCCTTTATGAGTGAGTAAGTGAGCTTAGTTTTACGCCGCATTCAGCAATATTCAACCTACATAGCTGCGGTCTGTAAATAATCGAGTCTGGACCAGATTCCAATGATCAACAGCAGTGATATGATGACATGTGTCAACCGAGTCAGCAAGCCTGACCACCCGTTAGTCGCCACAACAAACATGGCTTACCCAAGATCAATTCTAACACGGATCTTCACGGGTATACAACTTTATGGATGACAACTTCTTGTTTATTGCATAGGGAGACGTTTCGATGAAGATTCTTATGCCGTTATCAAGCTAAAAGTTCTCTCTGAAGTTGTATGCTTCATATTTGACTCACCAACTTCTAAAATGCCGATCCAACAAGTTAAATTTTGAAACTTCTGATCAGAATATTTCCCTCAAAAATCCTGATTTATCAGTGAGTGAGTGAGTGAGTGAGTACAACGACACCTTGGAAGTATGTAGATTATCCTACAGATTGCCACCTTCTGGAAGGAAGGTTCAAAGAGATACAGGTCTACGAGTATTACCACTTTGGTGGAACACACGAACACGGGTACCGTACTGACGAAACCAGCACACGTCATTACAGTCTGGGATTTTAGATATCTGCCATATTGAACGCAATTGCAAACAAAGTGGCAGGTGAGACCACAACGCTGCCATGTCCACCCTGTGGGATATTTTAGCGTTGATTTTGTTAAAACGACAGAGCTGTGGAGTATTTTCTGTTAAACAGAGATAACAAACATCGACCTTCACCTTGGCACTGTAAATGTGTATTGCATAAACACAGGTATTGTTATCGGCAACTCGTCCTGCTGAAGCACAAACTGCACCTCGTTAAACTTTGTTAGACCGGTAAATCATAGCTGACGGTAAGTACGGATTGTATTGATGCTCCAGCCCAAAGAGGGTCACTTCAAGCTCCTGGCTACCACTAGCACAGTGTCCGTCGTTGAGAAACAGCTGTTCCACCTTATTATAATAATGAAAATTATTATCATTATTACTATCATTATTTCAAAATTATTTTTTACATTGTTGCATGTGTCAAATTATATATGTGAAACTAGTATGCTGACGTACTCCAAAGAACTCTATTTGTCCAGCGTGGGAATTGAACACATGTCCAGAGCTGATATGCATTATCGTGTATTAGGTGCACATAAAATGTATAACGCTTAAATTAAAAATTATTTCCTGTCATCTAACGTAATGTCGCATGTGACCCTGGAATGTAACATCACATGTGATTCTTGTATTATAAGGTGGTTTTAATCTTGTAAAGAGTTACACATCGTGTTTTAACAGCTGTGATAGTCTATTGCATTAAGTAGGTCAAAGAGGCTTCACGTGCCTCTGACGGACACGTGATCTCAAAAAAGCAAATACACACTTTTTGAGTGTTTTCACCATCATAAACCATGAAATATAAACCAGTGTTCATATGACACAAAAGAACAAGTTCTCAACACAGCCTTCGTGAGGTAAGGTTGAAGTTATACTCAGTGCACATAATCAAGGATTACAGCTAGCTCTAACAGCGAGTGAGTGAGTTTAGTTTTACACCGCACTCAGCAATATTCCAGCTATATGGCGGCGTTCTGTAACTAATCCGCTAGAGCAACATTGCTGCATGGTGTGTCTGACAAATATTCAGTTATGAGTCACCGTATCGATGTTCAGATACTACTATGGATACGGTGCGAAATGAGCACTACTGGAAGCGCCCGTAAACACATTGTATGTATTTCAGATGGCAGGAGACAGTGCTGCGGTGGAGCCAGAGCGAGGCAACTGGGGTGGGAAGCTCGACTTCTTCATGTCATGTGTGGGATACGCTGTTGGACTTGGCAATGTCTGGAGGTTCCCGTATCTCTGCTTCAGAAACGGAGGGGGTGAGTAAACACTTAGTAACCATGGGAGTTATGTTCTGACGGCAACCCGGCATGCGGTCAGTTGTAAGACGGAGTTACATGAAACTCATACGTGAAAAAGAACATGAACATATGGAACGTTGTTGATCTTACTGAGAATATAATAGTGTTGATTTTAAGTAGAACATGACAAAACTAACAGGTTGTATTTCGAGACGGGAGTGGCATTTTTCTTGGGATATGTTGGTGTGTTGCGAAGGTGCCAAGCACATTTGGGTATAAATGTCCTGTCATCAGAATGCACAACAGCTTTCTGAACAGACTTAAAACACGACAGTACTAGGGGTGGGTATTGCAGAGAATTTTCATATTGCGATATATTGCGATGCGAAAGCATATATTGCGATATGTATTGCAATATATTGCAAGAAGTTTTTTCAACCAAAAAACTACTTATACTCGAGTTAATGCTTGATTTATAAAGCAAAAACAAAACAAAATCATCATGTTTGATTAAGCTTTAATAAAAACTTTTAATCCTGACAAAATAAAAATGTAAATAATAATTGGCATGAATGAAACAAGGCAATATCCGAAGATTTCCGAGTGTTACGAAGTTTTCCGAATGCATGTCAAGATACCGGTTTTCGATCAGCGTATCGCAATACGTATCGTTTTCATGTCTGAACCGGTAAATACCTGTAAACCGGTTATATTGCGCAGCCCTAGACAGTACTAAACATTTACATTTCTTGACATGACAAGACATATAAAATACACGATGACAGGTTATTGGCGTGCACAAAACTGGGGAGTCCTGTCACAACATCACTGCTCACTTGAACATCAATAGCACGGTTACTAGTCGAGTGTTGAGGAAGCACGTGGTCACCGATGAAGTTAAGGATCGACATAGAAAACTGGGGAAGACCAGTGACTGTGTTGACCGAATCCTAATTCCTATGTAAAGACGCAACTGCAGTGCGTCATCAATGGAGAGTGAAGTCCTACCTCCTCACCAACGCCATCAGAAGGACGATGTAGGCTGCTGGTGTGAGGGAGACTCACTTGCACAAACCGATTTTAGCGTTACGATGATCGTAACTCCCATACTCTAACCTAGCCTTAAGATGGTGGCAGCGGTAAGATCGCTTTATGCAAGTTGGCCTTGACGACTTTTTCTAAGAGATGTGTACAGGCAGGAACATATAGCGTGGTGCAGGCTCCTCTGAATCTCTGGTCTCCCTAGGGCTCCTTTTCAATATAAATGGGCTTGTTTGTTACTATCAAAATGATATATATATATTCAGAGACTAAGCCTTAGTCTAGCTCCGAGACATCAGCAACTTGAGGACATGCATTGGTCTTGTGGAAGTCGCTATGTTCCATGTTCCATGAGTGATGGCAGAGGATTCTGCTTGGTGGCCAGTACGAGAACGGGGGTATCGGAACGGGGGTACTAATGTGGTCGCCAGTGGTGGTTCCATTCGTGAAACACCTGTGTTATTCCGGGACATGCCAAATACCGACTCGTGTCCCTCTGGGAGGATTCGATATTGGCGTATGAACATCAGAACTACTTCAAACAGGAACGACAACTCTATTTCCTATTTCCAACACTAATACACATAACTGAAGCACTCGAAAACAGCCTGGTCCCGGGGTCAGTGTCGAAGAGTAGCGCAACAGACCCCGGGAACCAGGCTGCACTCGAAAGTTGCTATTTTTAATAAAGAATTGTTGCTGTTTTAAACAATGATGATGATGTTTTGTTGAAAACATATTCTAACGCAATTATTATTATCTGTTCACCTCAAATGTATATTTCTTAAATACGGTTTAAGAATCGCAAATAGGATTGTTTATTTCATGAACACGCAATCAAAACAACATCTAATTTCAGCTTTAATAAGTCCCAAAACAGATAAACAAAAATGACTTTACAATATATATCAAATTGAAGAATTCGTGGAGAGACATATCGTAAACTGTCTGTACTTGCAGGAAGGAAACCTTGCTGCCACACCCGAGGTGGAATTAAAATATGATTAACAACCGAAACGTCACACTAACATATCCCCCAGTGACGTGATATGTAAGCGCAGTCTTTAAAAAATAAAGTTGTTTAGTAATATATAAATACATGTACATTGTTTCGAAACTATATATATAATTGCATCACCTAAAGATGTCAAAAATCGCACGTAAAATCTCCAAAACATGCCGCAAGAACGCCAGTGTAAACACTCTATTAAAGAGCCGTCAGATAAGAAACGCATGTGCGTGTATTTGAATCTCTCATCATTAATGGCCCTCTCCTTATTAAAAACTTCGAATTAGGTAACACAGTTCTGCTAACTATGCTCTTTGTAACATCAAAATTATGATAGATATTTTTCACAATCTTTTAAACAATCACACACTGAATGTTTTGTTTTTTACCAAAAATCCGTGTACCCCCTTATTGTTGTGGGAGAATTTGAATTATTTTTTTGAGAATTTGATTTTTGGCGTAGTCATAGTGACCATTATTCCCGCATAATGTGTTATTCACGTTTTGGTGTAATCCTCTACGACTGCAATTAAATTGTTACCAAATTTCAATTTCAGTTTTGTTTTGAGTTGATCAGAGAAACTATGTTAGAGTAACCATTTAAATAGGCGGCATAAAAACATAAAACAGCATGCAGTGTTTTCGTACTTATATAATAAAACTGGTTAGTGTTTGATTAATGCTCATGTATATTGTTTACATACCACAGCATAGTATAGTTTTACGCCGCTCTCAGCAATATTCCAGCTATATGGCGGTACATACCAGTGATACCACAGTGATAGACTCTTGTATACGGTGGTGCTAAGATGTACTTCCTTCTCCAGGGGCGTTCCTGGTGCCCTACGTGATTATGTTGGCCCTGGCCGGACTCCCCATGTTCTTCTTTGAGATGGCCCTGGGACAGTTCGCTTCCCTGGGGCCGATCACCATCTGGAGGGTCAACCCGCTCTTCATGGGTGAGTATCATATTGTTTGTATATTGTTTGTTTAACACGTTTCTTTAACACAGCTTTTAGTGATCAAATCTGGACCAGACAGGTCAGTGATATTAAGAGGTACGATCCACACCGTTGGGGTGGGTTAGCCCAGTGGTTAAAGTGTTCGCTTGTCACGCCCATGACCCGGGTTCGATTCCCCACATGGGTACAATGTGTGAAGCCCATTTCTGGTGTCCCCTGCCGTGATATTGCTGGAATGTTGCTAAAAGCGGCGTAAAACTAAACTCACTCACTCACTCACACCGTTGGGTTATGACATGCAGTCAACCAAGTGACCGACCATGACCATGGTCACCCATTCCAATAAGTCGCCTCTAGGCTGACTGACTTAGTTGGTCTTCAGCAACCCATGCTTGTCGTAAGAAGGGACTAACGGAATCGGGGTGGTAAGGCTCGCTGACATGGTTGACACACGTCATCGTATCCAAGTTGTGTAGATCGATGCTCATTATGTTGATCACTGGATTGTCTTGTCCATTGTTATTTACGTACCGCCGCCATATAGCTGGAATATGGCTGAGTGCAGCATAAAACAACTAACAAAATTATAATCACCTAGCCAGGAGGTCCCATGGGCACCCGCACATGGTGGAGGGGAATCTGCTCCTAACCATGTTATTATTAGTCAAAGAAAACCCATTTATGTTCTCATGATGTATGCAGCAAACAGTCAAATAAAAGCTGTTGTAAGAAGATGAAATAGACATTTACAAGGACAACTCTCTGATTGTATGGCTAGAGCTACAATGACGGTTGGGTAACCGCCTCCGTGGTGTAGTGGTTAGAGCGTCCACCTGGAGAGCGGAAGGTCGCGGGTTCGTCCCCCCGACCGCGTCATACCAAAAGACGTTAAAATATGGTACTTGTTGGTCCCTGCCTGGCGCTCGGCATTAATGGGTACAACAAGGACTGGTCGGCTCGGAGTCAGTATAATGTGTCTGAGTGGGGTATTCATGCTTCACTGCGGCATGGTATCTCAGTGGGCTAGCACTATAAAACCAGCTTAAGTCTGGGCTAGTACAAGCAGCCGCACATACATACACACGCATGCACGTCGTCATATGAGCGAAATATTCTCAAGCACGACGTTAAACCCAATTTCACCTCACCTCACCTTACGTCACGCTAAATATCCGATTCGATTCCCATTTAGGTATATCCCCAGATGACACATGATAAGACTGTAGCAAAGCGACTGCCTGAGTCACCGTTCCCTCTCACTCACTAACCCTTCCACTCACTAACTCACCCTCCCACTCACCCTCTCACTCACTCACTCATTCACTCACTCACAGGTATCGGGTTTGCTGTGGTAATTATATGCACTATGGTGTGCGTCTACTACAACGTCATCATCATGTACAGCATGTTCTACCTCATGGTGTCCATCATCAACCTCGACGGCAACCTCCCGTGGATGAGCTGTGGCAACTACTGGAACACACCAGCATGCACGATGTCAGCAAGACCGTCGTTTGACAACATCACAGACGTAGAGAAACTCAACATTACAATGAGTAGGTATCAGTTAAGGTTCATGCAGTGTGTCCGACCAGAGTTGTCTCCCCTACCGTTAACCCTGTCACGAACATTCGTGACCAACTGTTACATTTGTAACTACTCGCCTCTTTCCGTGACCTACAAGAAGATAACATCCGGCTTGCCGGAATGACACGAGTAGTTACGAATGCAACTGTTATTCCGGGACAAGGCGAATAGCGGTTACGGAAAGGGGCGAGTGGTGACGAATGTGTCGCGAACGGTTGTAGACCCCATTCGTCACCACTCGCCCCTTTCCGTAACCTGCAAGAAGACTCGTCCCCTTCTCGATGCTTGTTATGTGCGAAAATAAGACAAACCAATCAGAACGCGCGTAAATCACTGCGGTGTTTCGGTAAAAATAATCCCGAGTACTTAAATCGTTTATGGCATTATGTCATCGTTTAAAAAATCATGAAAAATATATATCGTCATATTGAAAGTACAAAGAACTTAGCTAACAGGATTTTGCTGCCTATTATAGTGTTTTTGATAAGAATCATGCGATTGATGGCGAGAGATTCAAATACACGCACGTGCGTTTGTTGACATAACGGCTCTCATGGGTCCAACTGAGGGTGTTTCCTACGATCTTGCGGGCTTGCTATGGCGATTGTACGTGCGCTTCCAACAATTTTAGGAAGCGTATAAATCGCTATGAGTTTCAAAACAATAATATTATATCTGTATGTAACTAATCAACTTTAACATTGGGCATATATTTCAATTCTCTGAGAATATGTTAGTCTGACCTTATTGTGGTCATTCATATATTTTTCAGCGAATTCAGTTAAAAGTCCACTTGTGGTATGACAGCAAGGTTACACGTATGTTCAGTTTGAGCAATATTATAAAAGTCCTTTTTGGAGTTTCTGCTTTGGGATTAGATGTAGCGGGTTTTTTTTTACAAATTTTATTTGCATATTCGATGAAACAAATCCCATTTGTGATTATTAAACCCTTTTCAGAAATATAATTGGAAATATAAGGTGAATATCTGGTAATAATTGCGTCAGAATATGTCTTTAACAAATATGTTTTTTTTTCTTTCTTTCAGTTGTACCAAGGAGTTTTAATTCTTTAGAATAAATAGCAAAACCAAAAAACAGCAATACAATGTATGAGTACTTCGGTGATATTTAGTACCATTGGAATCAAACAGGAATAGAGTTATCGTTCCTGTTTGAAGTAGTTCTGATGTTCCTACGCCAATATGAAATCCTTCCAGAGGGACACGAGTCGCTATTCGGCTTGTCCCGGTTTAACACGAGTTGGTCCCGAATGTTGTGGACCCAAGACTGTGCTAACAATAAATAATATGGCTTGACGTTAGGAATGATACAGATCTTATGCCGTATCACTCACTATGAACGCGCATTCGTAGTAAACCGATGGAAGATTCTGGTTTTATTTGGCGTATAGCAGAGGACCGTTCAGATACACGGAAAACTACACTATCAGGGATCACTTGCACAAAGCGATCTTAGCGCTCCGATGATTGTAACTCCCATTCTCTAAAATAGGCTCAAGATAGTCGTAGCACTAAGATCGCTTTGTGCAAGTGGGCCTTGGTAACCTTCATGTATAACTAACCCGACGTAATTGTGTGTCAGGACACTTGGAGCCAGACTGCGTCAACACGACACTGAGTCGCATGAATCTCAACTACAGCGACTTGACATACAACCTGACCCTCAGCAACTTCACCGCCTGCAACGACACCAAGAGCTGGAGACTGATCACTCCAAGCGAGGAGTACTGGACGTGAGTAAACGGTTTGGGGAATCAACTTGACAAGAAGGATCTGAGAGAAATTAGGCAATTCTTTCACTTTTGTACTCAATGTGTGCGCAAGATAATATATTGAGTAAATATGTGACAAACGTGCTGGGTTTTTTTTCACCGTAAAACTACGCTACATGTAGAATTTACTGCATCGCACTGATTAATCAATCTAAATCTAACATCTTCACAATCGTGGTGTCTATTTTGGTTTTAATGATCGAGTTCCTTCTTCAGTAACTTCGTCTTGAACATCGACCAGGCCGAAGACCTTGGCAACGTGGGCGGCGTCAGCCTCAAGTTAGCCTTCGTCCTTCTCTTGTCCTGGCTCGTCCTCTTCTTCTGCCTCAAGAAGGGGGTGCAGACATCTGGCAAGGTGGGTGGTGTGTCTCTGAAAGGGATGGAGCCATAGGGCAAGGTGGATAGTGTGTCTCTGGAAGGGGTGGAACCATGGGGCAAGGTCGATGGTGTGTTTTGAAGGGGTGGAGCGATCGGGCAAGGTGGGTGGTGTGTCTCTGGAAGGGATTGAGCCATAGGGCAAGGTGGATGGTGTATCTCTGGAAGGGATGGAGCCATAGGGCAAGGTGGATGGTGTGTCTCTGGAACAAGGTGGATCTGTAGGCCAGGTGGGTTGTGTGTTTATGGAAGGGGGTGCAGACATCTGGCAAGGTCGGTGGTGTTTCACTGGAAGGGGTGGAGCCATGGGGCAAGGTGGACAGCGTGTTTCTGGAAGGGAGTGCAGACATCTGGCAAGGTCGGTGGTGTGTGACTGGAAGGGGTGGAGCCATGGGGCAAGGTCGGTAGTGTGTCTCTGGAAGGGGAGTGCTGACATCTGGCAAGGTCGGTGGTGTGTCACTGGAAGGGGTGGAGCCAAGGGGCAAGGTCGGTAGTGTGTCTCTGGAACGGGAGTGCTGACATCTGGCAAGGTCGGTGGTGTGTCACTGAAGGGGTGGAGCCATGGGGCAAGGTCGGTAGTGTGTCTCTGGAAGGGAGCGCAGACATCTGGCAAGGTCGGTGGTGTGTCTCTGGAAGGGGTGGAGCCATGGGGCCAGTTGGATAGTGTGTTTCTGGAAGGGAGTGCAGACATCGGGCAAGGTCGGTGGTGGTCTTTTTCTGGAAGTGGTGGAGCCATGGGGCAAGGTGGGTGGTGTGTCTCTGGAAGGGGTGAAGACCTCTGGCAAGGTGGGTGGTGTGTCTCTGAAAGGGGGGTGCAGACATCTTGCAAGGTGGGTGGTGTGTCTCTGGAAGGGATGGAGCCATAGGGCAAGGTGGATAGTGTGTCTCTGGAAGGGGTGGAACCATGGGGCCAGGTGGGTGGTGTGTCACTGGAAGGGGTGGAGCCATAGGGCAAGGTTGATAGTGTGTCTCTGGAACAAGATGGAGCTGTAGGCCAGGTGGGTTGTGTGTCTGTGGAAGGGGCGTACATGGTGGTGTGGGAAGCTGGCGAAGGCAATGAGGTGCAAGAACGAGGTGAAGAGACGGTGAAAATCAGTTGATCTGGATAGGGCCTAATTCACTCGCTTCTTAGCCATCTGAGTTTCCTCTTCAGTGAGGCACAGGAACATGGTGACTATACTAGACGTCCTCGAAACAGTGGTACCAACAACCTCCATCCCCTTACAACACTATTCATGTCTTCCACCAAGGCTTTCACCAAAGTAGTATTGTGTTATACCTGTTTTCCTTTGACGGCAAGCAAGCTGGCACCATGACATACAGTACTGTACAAAGCTACGTTACACTCCCGAACTCTACCCTGGCGGCATCTGTGTTGTAGGTCGTGTACTTCATGGCCACATTCCCCTACATCGTCCTCATCTGTCTGCTGGTCCGGGGGCTCACTCTCGACGGCCACATGCTCGGCGTCAACTTCTACATTATTCCCAAGTGGGAGCGACTGCTCGACGCCACGGTCAGTTCGATATATCATCACTGGTACCATGCCCTGCTCCTATTCCTCACATGCCAAAAGTCCAATTTTAAATATTAATATCGTACCTTACAGTAGTCCAATAAAGTTAATACTTGGTGATGTGACCCTTTGATATTAGAACTTGTCGACAGCGACGTGGAAGAGAAGAATAAAGCGAATGGATGTATGCAATCGGCAGTTTTTCCCAGGCAGTCGTAAGCGCTTCCTTGAGGTCATCAGTGGTCCTCACGTTTGCAATGGTTTTTTAACAGTGTTCTTCAGGACAAGCCACACATTTTTAATTGGATTTAAATCTGGACTTTGTGGAGGCCAGAAAAATGGGGCAATTTCATTTGTTCGCTTCCAGGCTTCTGTAGCAGCAGAGCGGAGATGGCATTGTCATCCATGAACATCCCTTGTTTATTGGTGAAGTGTTTGGTTATCACTGACCACAAACACCTGTCAAGTACTTCAATATACTTCTGACTGTTCATGTTGCCTGCCACAAACTTTTAAACACCGGTCCCACAGTAAGTTATGCAGCCCCACATCATTAACTTTAAAGTGCGACCAGGTTTGTCAGCTAAGTAACCGAGGCACTGGCCAAGCCACCTTCCAGACTTTGATTTTTCCATCTGGCTTGATAACTATTGTCATTTCATCACTGAATATTACTTTTCGCCAGTGGTGATCAACATTCCAGTGTAATTTTCCTCTACAGTATTGGAGACCTTTTTTCCGATTTACCTCACGAATTCCTAGCTTCTTACAAACAATCCTCCGATCATAGCCCAAACGGTGTAATTCACGATGAATGGATCTAGTTGAAGCAGGTGCAAGTACTGAAGTATTATATTCACTAGTAATGTCAGACAAACTGTTACGCCTTCAGTTCTTAACAATTCTTTATAATGTTGTCTGGCCACGAATCCGAATGACTTTCGGTCTACCCCTTCGAGCAGAGTTATTTATATTTTCCCTGTCGCGATATCGATAACGTTTCAAAAACTTACTGATTGTGCTCTTGGACAAATCCAATATTTTACAAATTTCTGACTGCTTTAATCCACTCTCAGTTAGCGACACGATGCTTGTTTTCACAGAGGTCGACAGATCTTTACCCCTACGACCCATTGTGTTTACCTCGAGCAGACGTCGAAAGCAGACGACAAAAATCACTTCCGCCTAGCACATGTCTAAAAATAGCATGCGTTGCGTTTGCATGCTAAGTTTTAGTGTGATACGTTTCCAACTCGCACAACGCGACACGTTTGAAATACTGAAACATCACACGTTATTGCGGGCAAGTCGAGAAAGTTGACAAACCTTTGGCATGGGAGTGTACATGCCCCGGGCAAAATATTTATGTGTAAACCTATACACGACCCCGTTCCACAAAGCGATTTCAATGCTTAGACCATCGTTTCTTCCGTTCGTTTGTTTGTTGTTTAACGCCGCAATCAGCAATATTCCAGCAATATGGCGGCGGTCTGTAAATAATCGAGTCTAGACCAAACAATCCAGTGATCAACAGCATGAGCATCGATCTTCGAAATTGGTATACGATGAGATGTGTCAACCAAGTCAGCGAGCCTGACCACCCGATCCCATTAGTCGCCTCTTACGACAAGCATGGGTTGCTGAATACCATTTCTAACATATCTATACATATTTATAAATGTCTAATATCATCTATAAAATAATCTTACAACGATGAAAAACTCTTGATGGGAAGACCGCACCTCCACATTCCCTGTCGGATCCCCTTCGGAATAAGCAGTATAAATCGGTGGCCGTTCTCCACTGTATATTAGCCAAAGTGTCTAAAGGGGATCCTGAATATGCATTATGCATGAGGGATGTGATGTTGAGATTGGATTGAGTAGTAATAGGATCTGTCCACAACCATTCGTGACCAACTCGTGTTATTCCGGGACAAGCCGAATAGCGACTCGTGCCCCTCTGGAAGGATTTCATATTGGCACATGAACATCAGAACTACTTTAAACAATAACAATAACTCTATTCCTGTTTGATTTCAATGGTATTTAATATCACCGAAGCACTCGTACATTGCATTGCTGTTTTTGTTTGTGCTTATTTATTTTAAAGAATTAAACCTCTTTGATACAACTAAAAAAAAGAGAAAATATGTTTGAGAAAGACATAATCTAACGTAATTATTACCAGCTGTTCACCGTATATTTCCAATTATACTTCTAAATAGAATTAAATAATCACAAATGGGATTTGTTTTATTGAAAGTGCAAATATAATATATATAAAATTCAGCTACAGAAATCCCAAAGCAGATACTTAAAAATGGCATTAAAATGTTGCTCAAACTGAATATTCATGCTGTCATACCCCTGGTGGAATTTTAAATGAATTCGCTAAAGAAAATATGAATGATCCCCCAAATGTCAGACTAAAATATCTTCATAGATGTGAAATATAAGCCCAGTGTTAAAGGTTAAAGTTGATTAGTTAAATATAGATATACATTGTAATGTTATTGTTTTGAAATTCTTGGCTCGTCACGCCGAAGACCCGGGTTCGATTCCCCACATGGGCACAATGTGTTAAGCCCATTTCTGGTGTCCCCCGCCGTGATATTGCTGGAATATTGCTAAAAGCGGCGTTAAAGTAAACTCAGTCAGTCAGTCAGTCAGTTTTGAAACTCGTAGCAATCTATAATTACATTTCCTAAATATGATGGAAGCGCACGTATGATCTCCAAAACAAGCCCGTAAGATCGTCATAAATACACTCAAATGCACCCATGAGAGCCGTTATGTCAACAAACGCACGTGCGTGTATTTGAATCTCTCAATGGCATTATCCCTACTAAAAACTACACGAGACATCACAGTTCTGTTAGCTACGTTCTTTGTACTTTCAATATGACGATATATATTTTTAATGATTTTTTAAAACAAACTCATAATACCATGACCGATTTAAGTACTGGGGACTATTTTTATCAAAGCACCGCAATCGTTACGCGCGTTCTGATTGGTTTGTCGTATTTTCGAACATAACAAACATCGAAAGGGGGGACGAGTCTTCTTGGAGGTTACGGAAAGGGACGAGTAGTAACGAATGGTCTACAACATGTAGTTAATATTTGTGATGATGGCGAGAGTGAATTATTGTGCTCTCTTGTTTACTTAGAGAGTCAGGATACTTTAGGAATCAACTTCTAAAATGCTTTGTTTGAGTGGCATTTTAGCAGTTTAGACGTACGATTTATGGATAACAACTTCTTTATTTCGTTGTCTTGCTTGACAACGGTACAAGAATCTGTATCGAAACGTCGCACTCACGAAATAAAGAAGTTGTTATCCATAAAAAATTGTTCTATATTCTAAAATGCCAGTTAACTAGATTATCCTGTTTTCGTCATACATTACGTCGCACTGTCACATTGAACTACAACGGCGTTTGTAAATATTCTCCGAAGCGGACGTAATATATAACACCGCTGACATTGACGTTGACAGGTGTGGAGGGAGGCAGCCACCCAGATATTCTTCTCCCTGGGGCCAGGGTTCGGGAGTCTCATGACTATGGCCAGCTATAACCCATTCAAACACAACTGTCACAGGTAACATGTTTTCGTTGTGTTTGTTGTTTTACGCCGCACTCCAGCAATATTCTAGCTATATGGCTGCAGTCTGTAAATAATCGATTCCGAATCAAACAATCAGGTGATCAACATCATGAGCATCGATCTATGTACTTGGGATACGATGAGTCGGCGAGCCTGACCACCAGATCCCGTTAGTCGCCTCTTACGACACGCATGGGTTGCTGAAAACTAATTTTAACCCGGATTTTCACAGGTTCACGGGTGACAACACATATGGCCAAACACAATGTCCGCTGTTGAACGGTACTGCAATCATATGTCGGCAGTAACACAATAGTTCCACATCACAATATAAACTCTGTCAAAAAAGAAACGCAACCCCTGTATTTTAGAGATTTTGATCTGAAGTTTTAGGACGACACGGCATTTTTATTATTTAAGACAGAAGTCTGAAATTTGGCAGAATAATAACCCAGATGGGCATGTTTAAAATTGTCATTTCAAAAGTCATCTCACAGACACCAGTTTGTCACCAGGGGGGCGTCTGTCTCAGTATCTCGTATGAGCACCACGCGGTGCAATCACTGCACGGCATCTCCTTGGACAAGAACGGATAAGACGCCGGATTCTTTCCTGGGGAATGGCTCTCCACTCCTCCTGCAGTGCAACGGCGAGCTGTTGCAGCGTCTGTGGCGGCGGCTGACGTTGACGTACGCGTCGATCCAGAGTATCCCACAGGTGTTCAATAGGGTTGAGGTCTGGTGATTTAGAGGGTCATGGCAAGACATTGACGTTGGAATTCTGCAGAAAGTTCATTGTTGCACGTGCAGTATGAGGCCGGGCGTTGTCCCGTTGAAAAATCTGTGTCTGTTGGTCAATAATCGGGAGAAGGTGAAGCTCTAACACGTGGTTGATGTAACGTTGGGCTGTCAGGTTCCCTGGAACGATCACCAAGTCAGATTTCTGGTTGTATGAGATGGTTCCCCAAACCATGACGCTTTCTCCGACAAATCTGTCCACCTGTCGGACGCAGATGGGCGCTAAACTTTTATGACGTCTCCTATACAGACGCTGTCTTCCGTCGTGACGTTGCAAAAGAAAACGTGATTCATCAGAAAACCAGATTCGCCTCCAGTTTTGTAAAGTCCGTATCCTTACGTTGTTGCACCACCTGAGTCGTCGGCGTCGATGTAGGGGGCGTAGTACAGGTCCAACAACTGGTCTACAGGCACGTAAACCCGCTTCTTTCAGACGGTTCCTAATCGTTTGAGCTGACACTCTCCTCAAACCTGGTATTTGTGTGGCAGTCACGGTTGGTAGGGCATGCCGATTACGCAGGTGATGGACCCGGATGTACCGATCTTGAAGGGGGGTCGTGATTCTTGGCCTTCCACTTCCCGGGCGATCGTTGGTCAAATTGAAGTTGTTGTAGCGACTCCAAAGTCAGGATATCGTTGTTTTGTGAACATTTAGGTGCCGTGCAACAGTTCCAAAACTTTCTCCGGCTTGAACACGACCAATGGCGATATTTCGGTCGGCAGCACTCAATCGTGGCATTTTTAACACAGCTTTTCGGCGACAAATGAATGAATATAATACGGAAGCACATGGGCTTTTATACACCCCTACATTAACTGCCATTTTCATGATTTGCATGTGTTTTTTTTTTGTGCGAAGTCACCATGAGGGTCATTTCATGCGTTGTGACGGAATAAGCAATAAAATACACTTATGCGTACAAATGCAGTTGTTTGGATGGTAATCTTCATTAATTACTTGTATCATTTCAATACATTCGAATAAAATTTAGTTTGGAAGCAATAACTTCATTCAAACGAATTTTTCATATCTGAGGACAGGGGTTGCGTTTCTTTTTTGACAGAGTTTACATGTAGCCTGATCATTCAGGGCGACGAATGCCAGTGGAAGTCATAACAAGAGTTTCAACGAAGGCAACTTTGTCGTGTGTCGCCAACCAAAATGAATTTATCTAGTTATCTTTGAGAAACGAGGCTGTTCTGTGAGTCTAACGCCCCTTTGAACAGAATTGTCAGTTACATCACGGCCGTAGTCTCGGATAGTGTTCTGACACAACTTCCTGGCATGCGCAAGGGACGCAACTCTTTAGGGAATGGACATGGCCACCTGTGACTGGGTATGGTTTTACACCGCTTTAATATCAACATTCCAGCAATATTACGGCGGAGGACACCAGAAATGGCATTGATTGGGTCACCCGTGAGATTGTCACTGTATGATAGGAAACAAACAGCTTGGGTGTGAAGTATTTGAATGAAACCGTCTCTCATGTTAACGTCCACGGTATCAAACAATCTCCTTTAACTATATATCTATTTGTCTTCATGCAGTAATGAGCGAACATTTTCAAGAATTTTAGCCATATTAATTAATACAATATCTACAACATCTAACTTATGTGGAAACCCCATATTGATGTCGATGTTTGATGTTCCAGAGATGCCGTCATCGTCTCCCTCATCAATTGCGGCACCAGCGTGTTCGCCGGCTTCGTCATCTTCTCCATGCTCGGGTTCATGGCGCATACCACCAATCAGGACGTGAAGGATGTCGCCGTGGATGGTAAGCCGTCACTGCTGCTGCTCTTGGGAGTAGATGTAGATGCGTCAATATGTTGTTGTGATTCACTTCAGCGGGGTAGCCTAGTGGTTAAAGCGTTCGCTCGTCAGGCCCGGGATCGATTCCCCACATGGGTACAATATGTGAAGCCCATTTCTGGTGTCCCCGCCGTGATATTGCTGAAATATTGCTCAAAGCGGAGTAAAACCATACTCACTCACTCGCTCACCCACTTCAGTTATATTAATCTAAAAGTATACATGCATGTTATTAGACAAATGCAAATATTCCATGAGTCTCGTTTCCACATGGTTTGCCTTTAGGGTTCAGAGTAAAATTAGGCTTTAGAGCAATAGATTCGACCTTATATGTAGGGTAGGGTGTTAAACTAAAACCAGATTGTCGGGGTGAACCGATACAGATAACGTTTGTTGGACGTATCGTCAAGATATGATAACGTAAGGAGGTCGTAACGTTCAGATATAATTCTGTCAGTGGGTCGTATCGTTCAGAAACGTATTTGCATGGTAACGTTCAGATATAATTATGCATGTTCGGCGTAACGTTCAGATACGTATTTGCATGGTAACGTTCAGATATAATTATGCATGTTCGACGTAACGTTCAGATACGTATTTGCATGGTAACGTTCAGATATAATTATGCATGTTCGGCGTAACGTTCAGATACGTATTTGCATGGTAACGTTCAGATATAATTATGCATGTTCGGCGTAACGTTCAGATACGTATTTGCAGGGTAACGTTCAGATATAATTATGTATGTGGGGCGTAACGTTCAGAAACGTATTTGCAGGGTAACGTTCAGATATAATTATGCCCTTGTTCTCCAGGTCCTGGGCTGGTGTTTGTGGTATACCCAGAAGGCATAGCGCGCATGCCGGTCGCCCCACTGTGGTCGTTTCTGTTCTTCTTCATGCTGGTGGCTCTGGGACTGGACTCACAGGTGCGTGACGTCACTCACGGTACATGCTACAACCCACATGCATACCTATACAATATATTCTAAACCAAATAAACATTCTACTTGCCAGCATATAGAGTCAAGACAGTAAATGTTCAACCTATTGACCTAAATACTAGTATATTTCAGGAAAGTATTTTAATGTACACATAGCAATAAATGCCGATTTAAAGGCCAACCTTAGTCCATATCTAAGATGGATAATGAGGTTGTGTATGTTGTGAGGGGCAGGTTCTTGGCTTTTGTCAGTTGTTGAGCAGGTTCTTGGGTCTATAGACTGTTGTTGAGGAGAGTCGTGGTTATGTGTAGGGATGTAAAGCAGGGCCTTGATTCTGTGTAGGGGTGTAAAGCAGGGCCTTGATTCTGTGTTAGGGTGTAAAGCAGGTCCTTGATTATGTGTTAGGGTGTAAAGCAGGGCCTTGGTTGTGTGTAGGGATGTAAAGCAGGGCCTTGGTTGTGTGTAGGGATGTAAAGCAGGACCTTGATTCTGTGTTGGGGTGTAAAGCAGGGTCTTGGTTCTGGGTAAGGATGTAAAGCAGGGCCTTGGTTCTATGTAGGGATGTAAAGCAGGGCCTTGATTCTGTGTAGGGGTGTAAAGCAGGGTATTGGTTCTGTGTAGGGATGTAAAGCAGGACCTTGATTCTGTGTTAGGGTGTAAAGCAGGGCCTTGATTCTGTGTAGGGGTGTAAAGTAGGGCCTTGATTCTGTGTAGGGGTGTAAAGCAGGGCCTTGATTCTGTGTAGGTGTGTAAATGTAGGGCCTTGATTCTGTGTAGGGGTGTAAAGCAGGGCCTTGATTGTGTGTAGGGGTGTAAAGTCGGGCCGTGATTCTGTGTAGAGGTGTAAAGCAGGGCCTTGAGTTTGTTTAGGGTTGTAAAGCAGGGCCTTGATTCTGTGTTGGGATGTAAAGCAGGGCCTTGCTTTCCTGTAGAGGTGTAAAGCAGGGCCTTGGTTGTGTGTAGGGGTGTAAAGCAGGGCATTGAATCTGTGTAGGGGTGTAAATCAAGGCCTTGATTCTGTGTTAGGGTGTATAGCAAGGCCTTGATTCTGTGTATGGATGTAAAGCAGGGCCTTGGTTTTGTGTAGGGGTGTAAAGCAGGGCATTGAATCTGTGTAGGGGTGTAATGCAGTGCCTTGATTCTGTGTTAGGGTGGAAATCAGGGCCTTGAATCTGTGTTGGGGTGTAAAGCAGGGCCTTGATTCTGTGTTGGGGTGTAAAGCAGGGCCTCGATCTACAGACGTTGAACCTCCATTCCACTGCAGTGAAATTCATTGTTGTTTTACACCGCCATGTGCATGAAAACAGCTGTATGACAACGCCTGGACACATTCGGTCCAGACAGCGGTGGTAAATATATAAACGACGTCTCTCGCCACCATGGTACCCGAAATCAAACAAGTCATCCATTCATTTATCCACGTCACGTCTTGCATACTCGTATGTCAATGGGGACCTGTGGTGTCCTGTAACCCCCACAGGGGAGGGGGGAGGACTGTTGGGGTACCTCCACTGAGGGGGACGCTGGGCCTGACACACGTCAAGCGTGTCCCAAAGCTGCTTCCCAGGCAACAGCCCCATTGTAACAGTTTACACGTCTGATAGATAAATATGACCTCTTTCTACGCTGGATTCTCGGCCCAGATGTACTGTATACCTTTAATCTGTTTATGCGGATAGATTATGTATGCACTGAGAGTGTTGATCAAGAGGCCACTTCATGTGTTTACTATGGGAGGGTAAACAGCTCAAGCGCCTATAATCCCGGGGGCTTCTGGTCTTGAATACATACCTACTGACGTCAAATAACATAGTCCCTTGGTTTCATCCTTTTGGGACACATTCTGCCCTGGGTTATTGGAAACCCGAGATGTCATGGGACACGTTCTGCCTTCAGATACCGCCGATCCCATGTATGATGGGAACAGATAGAGGAGATCCGTCATATGATAGGGACACATTCTGCCTTAGATACAGGAGATCCGTCATATGATAGGGACACATTCTGTCCTTAGATACAGGAGATCCGTCATATGATAGTGACACATTCTGTCCTTAGATACAGGAGATCCGTCATATGATAGTGACACATTCTGCCTTAGATACAGGAGATCCGTCATATGATAGGGACACATTCTGTCCTTAGATACAGGAGATCCGTCATATGATAGGGACACATTCTGTCCTTAGATACAGGAGATCCGTCATATAATAGTGACACATTCTGCCTTAGATACAGGAGATCGTAATATAATAGTGACACATTCTGCCTTAGATACAGGAGATCCGTCATATAATAGTGACACATTCTGCCTTAGATACAGGAGATCGTAATATAATAGTGACACATACTGCCTTAGATACAGGAGATTCGTCATATAATAGTGACACATTCTGCCTTAGATACAGGAGATCTGTCACATAATAGTGACACATTCGGCCTTAGATACAGGAGATAATGGAGACCCGTTATATGATATTGGGCGCCCGTAATGTGATGGGGACACATTCAGCCATGCCATAGCATATGAAGAAGTGAACGACACATTCTGTCCTTTAGTTCAGGAGATCCGTTACACGGCCGCTACCCTCTCCCCTTCCCCCACTTTAGACTTCAGTCCACACACCGATACGCCCAGTAACAGCAAGGTTTGCTTGGCCGTAGAACACACTGACTGTTACCTCGAGTGGCTAGTTCTTTCCTTACAACGGCGCATGTTTATCGTATAGTAATGGGGAAAACAACTCCTTTGATCTCGACACCGACACTATTTATGATGCGTTATCGTGACATCTAGGGATCAGATAATGGGATCTTGTCAATGTTATCTGAAGAGGAATATGTCAAGACATGTAAAAGGCATTGACCACGTGAGGTGGGGTGGGGGTGGGGTGGGGTGGGGTGGGTTTTTTTTTGGAACCCCCTGAAACCCTCCTCTGGATCCGCCAATGACCCTAACCCACCTTCTACCTCACTAACCCACCTTCTACCTCACTAACCCACCTTCTGTGATCCCATCTCTCATCCCGGTCTCTAGACGTTCTAATGTTTTAAAGTATGTGTATATTGCAATCGTGCACCCTTTGTACAAGTGCCGTGCTCAAGGTATACTACACATATACTTAGTTTCTATTTAAGTAACACGGGGTGCTAACATAAAGATATGAACTTACTAAGAGACTGAAGACCGGTCACTATTCATGACATACACAGTTCATCAAGTAGAGAGGTACTGTGTACACACACGGGGGCATGAAAGGGACGACACGTGGATGCCGGAGACACCTCACCGTTTGTACTGACGGGGATGACACATCATGTAACCAGTATAAGGTGTCAATAACACAATATCTCAGTGTCTGGACTGACGGGGATGACACATCATAAAAGCAGAATAAGTTGTCAATAACACAATATCCCATTACCTGGACTGACGGGGGATGACGCATCAACTAGCATAAAGCATCAACAACACACTATTTCAATGGACAGGCTACACAATATCACTTCACCTAGGATGAGTTTGGTTCTACACGCTGTCATGGGTATATGTGACGTCGTAGTCATGCGTATAAATGGCGTCTTAGTCGTGGGTGATTGACTGGGTATTGAGTGAGTGAGTCCTTGGTACGTAATACGTTAGCTATATCATGGCTCATATATGAAGAAGCTTAGACGTTTTTCTTCATCGGAAATGTCCTATTAAAGTAGTCACGGCGTTTATTTGTTTATTTCTTCATTAAGATAGGTAGTGGTAACAAATATCAGAACAACTATGTTTTTGCGAACAAGGCTTTCTAATTTGGTCCTCTAATCATCATCCAAAGTACCATTTTACAGGTACAAAATAACCAAAAATTGCATACAATCAACAAATTTGGAAACATGTTATAACTGACGTCACAATCAACAATGGGTGGTAACAACTATAATACCTGCAGCACAGTTTAGACGGGAAGATGCATTTGCACAAGCGTTGCCATAGGAATTTTGCAACTGACAATCAAAGCTATGAATGAACTTGTAAAAATAGTAAATTTTCAACAAGAGAAAATGCCTGAATCAATTATTTTGAATATCAGTTAGGATAAACGAAAACACAAGATTAATTAATATATGACGTTTTTCATAACTATATTGTGTATACGAACCTATGGAGAGTATATCCCATATGCATACTATAGCTTGCATCAGGAACGTACAATTTGACTTCGATGAAATTTCAAGGGGTAAAAATGAAACGAATTGCTCTCCTGTAACCTCATCTATTTCGGATGATTTTACAAAAAGTGTTGAAAATAAAAGTTGGGAAAAACGATAGTCATAGAATATTTAACAAGCAACCTTTATTTGTATTCAAGGCTGCGAAATAAACGTCAAAACCCGTTTTATTTTTATTTCCGTGAGTACTATAGTCTCCGTCCCTACTGGTTTGAGTTCACAGTCGTGACCAGGTCCTCCCTTGAGGAGGGGCGGTGGGGTAGCCTAGTGGTTAAAGCGTTGGCTCGTCACGCCAAAGACCCGGGTTCGAATCCCCATATGGGTAAAATGTGTGAAGCCCATTTCTGGTGTCCCCCGCCGTGATGTTGCTGGAATATTGCTAAAAGCGGCGTAAAACCAAACTCAGTCAGTCAGTCAGTCCCTTGAGGATCTTTAGCAACCCATGCTTGTGGCGACTAACGGGATCGACTAACGGGATCGACTTACGGGATCGACTAACGGGATCGGGTAGTCAGGATCGCTGACTTGGTTGACACTTGTCATCGTATCCTAATTGCGTATGCTTATGATGTTGATCACTGGATTGTCTGGTCCAGACTTGATTATTTACAGACCGCCGCCATATAGCTGAAATATTGCTGAGTGTGGCGTAGATCTAAACCCACCCATTCACTCACTTACAAATATCCATATGCAAGTGTATCAGTATTGTGTGATTATTATCTGTGGTTTATTTTCAGTTCGGAATGATGGAATCCGTCCTGAGCGCCATTATTGACGCATTCCCCGCCTTTCTGCGCAGGCATAGGACAATATTCACTTTATGCTGTGTGCACACAAAACATCATCTGCAACAGCTGCTGCAGCTGCTCAGCGTGCTACCACTGCTGGTGCCACAAGTAGGAAATGATATTCATCCTCATTATAACCATAATTACAATATTTCCATAATCGACCACCTTGGGTGTATTCATATCTCTTCCAATATGCCACTCATGTGAAAACGTATGCTGGGACCAATATGTAAATTTCTTGTCAGAGACAGCTGAGGTACTACTGTCCGAGTGTAAGCTTTCATGATATAATAAATTATCGTCATCGCTGACAATGCCCATCTTGTTCGTTGATATAGTCTAGGCGTGACATTGATTCTGATAAAAGAACATTTAAATATTCTTCTGTTCTGAAGTCAGTCCAAAGCCAAACCTAAACTGTTTTAACTGGATGCCTGTAACAGCATCTCATAACATCTTTATGGGTGTCGGGAATCAGGTATAGTTTTGAGCTTCAGCGGATAATTAATACATTGTTTGTATGCATAATGGCTTCAGAAAATGGATATCGACCGCACTTTCCATGCTCAGTGTAGTTTGTGATATCGTGATACCGAAAAAGCGCTTACATGCCAAAACTTACACTGTTTCCTATTTTTCCTTTTGATAACCCCCAATACCTCTGATTGAAAAAGGTATATGGGCAAATCTCTCATCAAATATTGAAAAGAACAAAAGCTTATGACGGACCCAGAGGGATGTGTGGGTGTGGGTGGTGTCAGGGGGTTCGAATCCCCCCCTTTTGAAAATGACTTAAGACCACATTGAAGATTTCTTTTGGCGTTCCCCCCAAAAAAATAAAATAAAATAAAAATAAATAAAATAAAAAAAATAAAAAAATAAAAAAATAAAAAATAAATAAATAAAAATAAAATAAATAAAAATAAAACAATTGCCCATGCAAGGGGGGTATCTGTTTCGGGTAATAACTAAGTAGATGGAGTTGTATTTCCACTTAAGGACGCATTTCCGATAAGGGTGTGTCTGAAACGCAACCCTGACTGACACAGGGACGTGGACTTTAAAACATTTCAGAAATTAGCAATAAAATCGACACTAAATGTTACTGATTATTGATATATCAACTGAACACATTCTATTTCTTTAGACACTTTTTTCTTATAAAACTGACAACAATTTCACAAGATTAACACTGTCCAACCATTTTGCAAAATCCAGAAACAGTGCTTAAGGTCTATCATTTAGTATATATCGATAATTTCACTATAATATAAACCTATATTGTCGAATACTTATTTCGGATTTTAAGTTATTGCAATATTGCCTATCACGGATGATTCACTGTCGTTGACGTTTCATATTACGCAAACGCATGTATACACACACACACACACACACACACACACACACACACACATATACATATATATATATAGTCTTCATTATACATATACGTACATTGCCCTTGTTATACGTATATATACATTGTCTGCCTTAGGTCCATACGTACTCTCTGTTATACACATGCTGTCTGTGGTTGCAGGGTTAAGGCGGTTCTGTCGAGATGTGGAGCTAATGATGGGGTTCCAGCCCAACTACTACTGGCAGGCCACGTGGCTAGTCATCACCCCACTTGCCATCGTTGTAAGTTGTTTGGTTGTTTATTTGTTGTTAAACGCAGTGTTGTAGCTATATGGCGGCGGTCTGTAAATATTCGAGTCTGGGACAAACAATACCAGTGATCAACATCATGAGCATCTACACATTTGTGATACGATGACATGTGTCAACCAAGACAGCGAGTCTGACCACCCTTCTTGTGACACGGATTTGGATAACCTAACCCTAGTTATTCCTTTTTTTCATTCATCTCAAAGTAATGTGAAGAAATATTTTACTACCTTGAGACTTTAAGACCATGAAACTGAATTTTTCAACCGGTCAAGTTGTGTGTTGAATACTACCCAATCACTTTATCTTAGGTCATACGAGTGATACCATCGCATTGACCAACGCCAATACTGGACATGATCCTAGATCGTTCAACGCTTCTTCAGAAATAAACCTAAATTGGGACAAGCATATATGAGTATAGTTTTTGTTAATTCATATAGTATGTATAATTATAAATACCTTACACCGTGTGTTTACAGGTGATGATAGTCATGTCCTTCGTCCAGTACAGCCCTAGTTACTATGGCGACTATAAGTTCCCAGCGTGGGGCCAGGATGTTGGGTGGGTCATGGTGTCCGTGCCCATTGCCTGCATCTTCGTTACCATGGTGATACAGATCATAAGGCACGGCGTGAGTACAACAGAAACTTGCCATCACTAGTTTATCGGCTTCCACCTGTATATGCTGTGTTTTGCTGTGAGAAACAAGATTTATATTTTAACATAAAAACATGAACCGTCACACTTCTGAGTGAGTGAGTGAGTGATCGATGATTCTCTAATCATATTCATCTGACAACACCGGCGTCATAAACAAACCAGGGGAGATAACTGTTCAGCTACGCAACAACAACATTCATATTTTTCATAAGAATATCATTGCAGTATGTAAATGAATATAATTTTCATAATTATACATGTGTTTGCGTGCTTTCCCAGGCTTGGGCGTATATGATTGCATTTATAAATAGTTCTCAGGGAAAAGCAATTCTTGCAGACAACAAACGTCATCTGGTTGTAAAAACCTGACATTGCACTTAGCCGAGTCAGTCATCCCTGAATTCCATGATGCTATATGGGATAGTCACTTAGCTGCTCCGACAATTATATCGCAATCGTCAACAGTGAGTGTCACTAAAATCTTATCAGTATGATTGCCGAGGGCAGTACTTTACCTACGTCATTCTGTTTCCTCTACTGTTTCAGTCCGTCAGAAATGCCATTAAGCCAAAAGACAGCTGGGGCCCTGCTAAGCTTGCACATAGGACAGGCAGATACGCCAGTACCAACCCAGCATTCCAATCCGATGGCGAAACCGAGGCCAAAAACGGCAGCGTTGTAAATAGTGATATTGAAATGGCCGTTGATGGAGACATACTGGAGGGCACAGAAGGAAAGACTAGATTGTGATTGGAAGGTTGAAACTATGAGCAAAGCAATAACGTTGTAGTATGGTGTGGTGTTCCAGAATAATGTTACGCAGCGACGCCGCCATGACGTCATTCTGACTTGCGAGGATTATGTTTGCAGGCGTCACCAACATACGGGTCACGACGTCAACGGACCAATGAGAAGCAACTATTTACACAATGCATTATAAATACCTAAGTGAGTGAGTGTTTGCCGACGCTTTTATTAGCAGTATTCCAGCAATACCATGGTGAAGGACACTGAAACACATTGCACCCATTTGGGGAATACTGTTACTGTTACAGAAAGTCACAAACATTATTAGCTGGACGTCTCTTGGATAGACAGTTTAGTGCTCCGAAACGTTGTACTTTTTGGAACTTAAAAAGAACCGGCCAAGGGAGTGTTTTCACGCACAACACCTCAAGCAGAGACTGAAGCATCGAGAAGAAGAACAAAACGTGCCCTTGATGAGTGTTTGTCTCACAAATCAGGGCAAGGAACGGGGTCGAGGGTAACAACGGCTGATAAACATATCGACTGAATGACATTTCCATGAGAATCTAACCATCTCTTTAAATATCTAAACCTTTCTTTGGGCTACCCATCAGCTGTTAACTCTCGTTCACAGACGGACTGATTTACGCTTCTGTACCTACTGACCTAGTACAATCCTTCTTGTTTCTTATTAAGTAACTATGTACACTATATCAGGATTTGATTTAAAGGTCTGGGGCAAATCTGTTTAAAAATGTTGTGACATTTTTCTGTAACTATTGTCATAAACTGGTCACTTGGAAAACGATTTGACTAAACATTTAAAAATAGAAACGTTTTAGAAACATTACTAGGCTGAAAGAGTTTCCTGAACACTGCAACCTAAAGCTCCAAAATACAACTATGATACATCGTTAAGGAACAATCGGGTTTTTTGTCAATTTTTGTGACCATTAAGAGTAGGTGTATACTTTCTTTGGCCCAGTTCTTTGTATGAAGAAAATAATGTTTTATCAAATAAATTCTGCATTCCAAAATCGTATTCTCGACGTTGCTGTTATACGATATTAATAATAAACTCTGTCAAAAAAGAAACGCAACCCCTGTCCTCAGATATGAAAAATTCGTTTGAATGAAGTTATTGCTTCCAAACTAAATTTTATTCGAATGTATTGAAATTATACACGTAATTAATGAAGATTACCATCCAAACAACTGCATTTGTACGCATAAGTGTATTTTATTGCTTATTCCGTCACAACGCATGAAATGACCCTCATGGTGACTTCGCACAAAAAAACACATGCAAATCATGAAAATGGCAGTTAATGTAGGGGTGTATAAAAGCCCATGTGCTTTCGTATTATATTCATTCATTTGTCGCCGAAAAGCTGTGTTAAAAATGCCACGATTGAGTGCTGCCGACCGAAATATCGCCATTGGTCGTGTTCAAGCCGGAGAAAGTTTTGGAACTGTTGCACGGCACCTAAATGTTCACAAAACAACGATATCCCGACTTTGGAGCCGCTACAACAACTTCAATTTGACCAACGATCGCCCGAGAAGTGGAAGGCCAAGAATCACGACCCCTTCAAGATCGGTACATCCGGGTCCATCACCTGCGTAATCGGCATTCCCTACCAACCGTGACTGCCACACAAATACCAGGTTTGAGGAGAGTGTCAGCTCAAACGATTAGGAACCGTCTGAAAGAAGCGGGTTTACGTGCATGTAGACCAGTTGTTGGACCTGTACTACGCCCCTACATCTCCGCCGACGACTCAGGTGGTGCAACAACGTAAGGATATGGACTTTACAAAACTGGAGGCGCATCTGGTTTTCTGATGAATCCCGTTTTCTTTGCAACATCACGATGGAAGAAAACGTGTATAGGAGACGTCATGAACGTTTTGCGCCCATCTGCGTCCGACAGGGGACAGATTTGGCGGAGAAAGCGTTATGGTTTGGGGATCCATCTCATACAACCAGAAATCAGACTTGGTGATCGTTGAAGGGAACCTGACAGCCCAACGTTACATCAACCACGTATTACAGCCTCACCTTCTCCCGATTATTGACCAACAGACACAGATTTTCAACCAGACAACGCCCGGCCTCATACTGCACGTGCAACAATGAACTTTCTGCAGAATTCCAACGTCAATGTCTTGCCATAGCCCTCTAAATCACCAGACCTCAACCCTATTGAACACCTGTGGGATACTCTGGGTCGACGCGTACGTCAACGTCAGCCGCCGCCACAGACGCTGCAACAGCTCGGCGTTGCACTGCAGGAGGAGTGGAGAGCCATTCCCCAGGAAAGAATCCGGCGTCTTATCCGTTCTTGTCCAAGGAGATGCCGTGCAGTGATTGCAGCTCGTGGTGCTCATCCGAGATACTGAGAAAGACGCCCCCCTGGTGACAAACTGGTGTCTGTGAGATGACTTTTGAAATGACAATTTTAAACATGCCCATCTTGGTTATTATTCTGCCAAATTTCAGACTTCTGTCTTAAATAATAAAAATGCTGTGTCGTCTTAAAACTTCAGATCAAAATCTCTAAAATACAGGGGTTGCGTTTCATTTTTGACAGAGTTTATTTTCGCAAGTTGTATATTTTGTATGTATTTGTGTATGTATCGTGTTGGCTCGTGGTTCCGTGCACAGCACATGGAGCGCTGAGCGTCATTGGTTGGGTGAAGTTCGCAAGCTTCACTCCAGAGAGTTCTTGGGACCTTGGTCCTGACCCATACGAAGAACATGGGGTGCCTCCGTGGTATGGTGGCTGATTAGGGCCATCCCTTAAAATTCGGCGAGGCGAGATACCATAAATCAGCCACCTTACCGTGGTGACTTTGTTCGTCATGTGTTTCTGTTCAGCTCTGAGGATGAACTTTGAATAATACTGTCCAAGCGCTTAGAGCATGGAGTGATGTCCTGTCTCATAGAACAGGTTCAAGGTCATGGAATGTGGGGAGGAAGACGTGTTGGCGATGTGTTCTGGTGAGGCAATCTTTCCCTTTGTTACATACTAATCTAAATGGATGTAGTCACAGACAGAAAAGCAAAGGGCAAAAATAATTGTCATGGAATATTCCTCCACTGAGGCAAGTGGGTCCCAGGTCAGGGCCTGTCCCTTCGAAAATATATTTGAGTAGAACAAGTAATCGCTCTGGGAGGTCGATACATTCGAGTGACTTCAACACAACACATTGACAGGTTACTTTGGTGTGTTATTTTATAATAGTAAACATAACTTTTCAAACTAATAATTGATCCTGGCAACCCAAACAACCCTTTTTGGCCCCTTTCTGCTCCGTATGAAGTAATATATAATAACATAAACTTTGTGAGACACCCTGTACATATTTTCTGGCGGACGGATGAAATGTGATTTCTTGACTGGAGGTAAATAATAAAATAATACTGCTCTCTCACGGTCCATGTCTGTCTAGGTGTTTACTTCGCACGGTACGGCTCATATGTCTGAATCCGAGGTACAAAATATTTATGTTCTGTTTAGTCTATTGTTTATTGCTGGGCAGTGTCCACTTCAGATAATCAGACCGACCCGAAACGCATGACCTGACATTGATAGCCACAACCCTGTTAGTGAAGGGGATACGTCAACATATGTGCTGTTTCAGTACCACCACCTGCAAGAGCGGGTCACATACTCTAAGTGTATTTAAGTAGACAGGCCGATGGTGGTGACATTAAGTGCATCGCCAATGGCCTTCATGCATCGAGATATTAAGATATAGATTCACTCAGCATGAGATTATAACCAGGTGTTTGTTCAAATTGATGTTTTTGGCATATTTACCATGATTGATCAAGTTTATGAAGACCCTGGTTTGATCATATTATGCTAAGATGATATCTAATACGCTAGGCTTGATGACCATGACTAGAGGGGATTAGGCAGGTGCCCGTATTGTCTATCATGGAGCATGTGCTGGCATGAATATACACACTGATTAACTCTCATAACAAATTTTACTGAATAGATGTAACTTTACACTGGAACATAGGATACAGAATACATTACGTAACAGGTACATGTTAAAATAGACATTGGTGTTGACTTCCTGGTGCCAAATGCTGCCATCTAATTTGAAAGTTTTGACCTGACATGTGTTCAAACATGAATCGCGGTATGTAATTAAGTATTGAAGTTCGCTCTACCTCCATCTGCAGTGGAATAAAGGGTAGTATTGTCATGAATGTTATTATCCAAGCCCGAGGAGGCTTTTTATCATTGCAAGTGCTTCAGATATCTTGCCCAGAACATGTTCATTCAATGTTATACTATTCAAGGCCTCAGTAAAGCTTTCAAAACGTTTTCGGGTAAACAAGTTCGGGACATTCAAGATCTGACTCACCAGTAATAAAATCATGTGCGATGCAATTCCTGCAGTTCATTACAGTGTGACGTCATGCAAATATTGTACTACAGTACAAACTCTTCCGCAACCTCTTTATGAAACCGGTTTCGGTTTGAAACCAAAAACATAACAAAATTACGCCATTTTATCAATTTAATGCATGTAAGACGTGGGTAATAAATAAAATGCCACACTCGGTCTCATTACATACGAATTATACGAAACTCGTGACCTTAAGCTTCCTATGTTATCTGACCTCGCTTTCGCTCGGTCAGATACCATAGGAAGGACACTCGTTTCGTATAATTCGTATGTAATGAGACCTCGTGTAGTATTCTCTATAAGTTTGTTTTTATTCATGTATACATTTACAAATTTACAACCTTCATAGTCACGATATGGCTGAAATACTGCCGCTGTGACTTTAAATTTTAACTCACTCACTCACTCTATCCCTAACGTATCAGGTTCACTGGACATGCTAAAACGTAAGTTCGGGCCCCACTTTAAGAAAAATATTGATAAGGTACGTTTTGTATCCCTGACTTGATCAAATAGAAAGTTACCAAGCTGGTTTCTTTATCTTTGTTGCAAGCTCGCATAACCCGCCTGTCTGAAAGTTCTTTTAACCTGACTGTCAATAGTTAATCCCGCTCATCTTCACACAACATCACCCGTTGATGGTGTGAGGCCGGTGTCAGCCCAATCTGTCGACAAATGACAAATAGGATGTTGCTAATCGTCGACAGAACAAAAAACCCGGAGTGTCGACATTGCGTGGTCAACATACCGTGACGGTGTTAATTAGTGAAAGAGAATGTTTGCTTAGTGATTTGCAAGTGACCATGTTCGTTTCATGAGTAAATGAATTACGTTAATTATAGAGAATGTCTTTTTAACAATTTGTAAGAGAATTAAGGTTGCAAACAGACTATTATTTTTAAAATACGTTATGCGATTGGAAGGATTACCATTTAGGAGTTTAAAATGCAAAAAAAGTACCGGAAAGAAACAGAGAGCTTACAAATTATTTTGTGATATTGGGAGTAGAAGGATTATTAAAATGCTGTTAAAAACATTTAGGATACATTTGGATTCCGTTACTACCACCTGGGTAGAAGGTCCATGGACTCTGCCAAAATGGAATTATTTTGAAAATGATGGACACAGAACAACTAACAATAATTTGGAAGGTTGGCACAACAAAATGAACAAGTATGCCATGAAGACACATCCGAATGTGTTTGAGGTTGTGCAAATGCTGCAAAAAGAACAGTCAGCTACTGAAGTTAAAACTCAGCAGATCCGAGGACAGCAGAGATCCCGTTCCGTAGACGTCGCTACTGAATCATCGACGCTAGGATTCGGCCCTTCTTGCCAACAGACTTACTGACTTGAACTACACAGACCATGTGTCAGAGTCGCTTCATCTTGGCTGAACATTACAGATTACTTTAGTGCAGATATAAAGGAGTTTTGGCAAGAAGAAATATCTGGACTCATCTTTTATATATTTATTGCTTATACACATGCAGAAATCCCTTATTTCTATAATACACACACACAAAATATATATTGTGTGAGATCTCTGAAATATATATACAAATATGTTATATTGTGTGACATGATACATACATGTTGTTATATTG